TATCAGAAGGGAGGGCTATGAGGGGGTCTGGGGTATCTTCCCCCCACCCCACCCCAGACCCCTCATAGCCCCCCCTTCTGATAGTCCGGCATTTCTGATAATCCGGCACCCCCTGGGTCCTAAAGGTGCCGGATTATCGGAAGTTTACTGTATTTGGTTTTAGGCCTTAATCTTGCAAAGATTTAGACATGTGCATAATTTTATTAATGTGAGTAGTCCCAATTATGTTGCTGGGCTTGGATAAAATAATTCACAAGAGTCTTTATCTAAAATGCAAATGAAAGTAGGGGTTTAATCCTGCAGAGGCGGGGGTGAGTTCTTATTTTAGCCAAACTTGTTCCCCACATTAAGCTATCATTTTACATTGTATTGTCACAGGATTTTTTTTTAACATCTTTAATTGGGAAAGTGAGAACTACAAATAGCTGTGAGACTGCTTTCATGGAAAGATAAAACAAGACAAATTCAAGTGGCTTAGGTTTGACTGCATGTCCCTTTTGCCTAGAATACTCATCACACTATATCCTTTCTATTTCCCAACATTACTTTGGTGCCTACTGCATGTGATTGCTATAGAATGTAATTTCTTTGCTCAGGGAGTAAGAATTGCTGAAGAGTCCTCTTCTGCCTGTGTTGACCCTTCTCAAACCCTGTTCCATCAATTACTAGTGTAACTGGCTCTTTTCTTTGGACATTCTTGATGGTACACTAATCTTTTGAAAACCTGGCCTGATTTCTCATTTTTTATCCCAATGAGCCCCACAAAAATGTCATCTAAACAAGTGATGGAACACACTGTTCACTTGTCCCTGGAATATTCATTCCAATAATATGCTCATCACTTCTAATTGATCATTTTCCCCCTTCTTTTTCCCTCCTCATCCCCTCTTTTTTCTGCTATTTATTTACAACTATGGACCCCTTGCTCCATTCTTCTGAAGAAGTGGGCTGTGACCACAAAAGCTCATGTTACCATCTACATTTTTTTTGTTAGTCTTTAGGCTGCTGCAGGACCATTTGTGGTTTTTTCACTTCCACACTAACACGGCTCCCCCTCTGAAACTTTTGAAATAATATACTAAGTACAGTAAACCCATGGAAAGAACTTGTCTCAGTTCTCTTGAAGCTGCTACAGTTGCAAAGACCTCAGAATTCAATGAAGACCAACAAATATTGTTTCAATATTGCAATTGACCATCAACCTGTGATATTTTCCACGGACAGAAGCCCCACAAGCCGCTGCCACATACTTCGTTTGCAAACAGATACTGTGGTCAATGCATAATACTTAGTTAAAGAAGGCACTAGGGATGTATGTCCGCAGATTGGCTTGGAGAATGCAGTTCTAACTGTGTGAAAAGAACATGGCTGCACCCCTAACACTGATACCAACAGGCGACAGACTCAGATTTCAAGAAATTATTCACACTGGAAAATTAAATTGCTGAAGAATTCACTCCTTTCACATTACCAAATTTCTTGAGTCCTCATTTTGGATGTAAATAACTTTCAATATTATAAACAAGGGGACATCAAATTTGTTTGGAGCATAGCTACCACTAGGACTAAAATGAGTGATGTCCTTCAAACTGATGGACAGCAGAGAAGGATGGGTTTAGGTTAAGGACTCAAAAAGCACTTTTAAATGCAATCCTCACAATTACTTTTTTCACTATAGGACAAGCCGAGCCCTCACCTAAAGTGTCACCACCAAAATGCTCTTCTTGAAGTTGATAGTGTACACAGGAATGCATGCAGAGCACTAAAGTTTCCCTCAAATTTAACATTGTATGTTGTAGAATCATGGATGTTACAGAGGAGTTGGAAAATACCATAAAAATGCATGGTAAGTCATTTAGACTGAAACTTTCCCCTTAAAATTATTTGAGCAACGGTTTATGCAAAGCCATCAATGACTGGCCATCAAATGAGGTTTATTTTGGTCCTATTCTCTTTATCTATGCAGTACAAAACTCAAAACCCAAATCCTAATGTACATTTTTTATAGTTATGTCCACACAGAGTGAAATCCTGCATTCTGTGAAGAGAATTAAATTAATTTAGTCAGTTTTGCTTCACTCTTAGGGTACCACAAGTTCACCCTTTTTAATGGAATGTTTACAAATGGTGAATGATAGCAAAATCTTAAAATAAACATTCATGAGACTCCAACAAGCTCTGAGGACTGGACTGTAGGGCTATGTCTAGACTACAAGCTTCTTTTGGAAGAAGCTTTTCCGGAAGAGATCTTCTGGAAAAGCTTATTTCGAAAGAGAGTATCCACACAGAAAAAGCACTTGGAAAAAGTTATGTGCTTTTTCGAAAGATAGTGTCCACATTTATTGGACGCTATCTTGCATTTAAGTTGTGATTAGTATGGACAGAGTGGCCACCAAGACATCTGTGTTATTTCCTGGAGGCCTCTTCTTTCAAAAGAACTCCCTCTTCTGTGTCCACACATGCCTTTTTCTGAAAACTTTTTTGGAAAAAGGTTTCTTCCTCATAGAAAGAGGTTCACTGCTGTTGGAAAAACTGCTCTGTTCTTTCAAGTTTGTTGAAAGAACGCAATAGCACTGTAGACATAAAAAAATTGCTGTTTTTCTAGAAAAATGCTGCAGTGTAGACATACCCTTAGATTTCAAGTAACAACATTTCTTCAGGGACTACTAATCCCTCAGTATCTTCATATTTTTAAAATTATCTCACTTCAGGTAAATATGTGCCAAGTCTCTTTATTTGGCTTTTGAAAAATCTGTTAGGATACAAAAAAGTGACTTTTTTCTCTCTTTTTTCATTATGTCCTACAAACAACTAACATGGTTTTGGCTAGGCATGTGGGCTTGACAATATGATTTTGTTACAGATAACAGCACAAGAGATTAATTAATACAGTAAGTTAGACTTTGAATTTTTTTTTAATTTAAAATAACTTTATAGTCATATTATAGACTGGTCAAAAAAGAACCTGAAACCTGAACTCACTGGCTGTGTCTACATTGGCACCCTTTCCCGGAAAAGGGATGCTAATGAGACTAGTCGGAATTGCAAATGCCGCGGGGGATTTAAATATCCCCCGCGGCATTTGCATGAACATGGCTGCCGCTTTTTTCCGGCTCGGGGTTTTGCCGG